CCATGACTTACTAAAAATACCCGTGACTGAAACGTAGCCTTACTTATGATTATGCATACAGCTGACACTGAGATCAAAGACCTGTAGTCATTAAAAAACTAAAACAAACAACACACACACACACACACACACACACACACACACACACACACCCCTTCCATTGACTTTTGCCTGAATTATTGTTTCAGGAGCAGGCTCAAAAGCAAAACCTTCAGGTGGAAACAAATAAATTAATGTTTAAAACAACAACAACAACAACAAAAGTAGTTAAAGGAATGAAACCTACTTTATTTCCTCTCATTCCAGGACTGCCAGGACTCCCTTTTGGACCCACAGTTCCCAGTTCACACTGAAATTAAATGAACATATGATACCTAGTGAGAATTTGGAAAAAAACCCAAACAAATCACTTTGCTTCTTTTTGCAACTTGTAACAACCATATAATGATGTTCAATGGCTCAGCTTCAACAAACACCACCACATTAGCACTTCATGTAGAATGACAAGAATCTAGTCGCAACTGTGCCACCTGTGCTTTTCCTGTAGATATCTGGCAGGCAGCAAAAGCAGTCAACATCAATAATGCTTAGATTCATTGCTTCAAGTCTAGACCAAACATTTATTTTCCTACCAGCATGGCAGCAAGATTGTACAAGATGAAGGCCATTCACTAGTTTGACTGGTACAGAACTTTTTTCAGTATCCATCAAACGTTGCTTTCTCAATTCCAGATAAATAGCGACATGTTCATAAAGTGATTATACTGTAGACTTAAAACCTATTCTTCATTCATAAAAAAAAAATCCAGACAAAGTTACTACTGGCTTCTCATCCACACAGTCTCCATATTAGTCATATATAAACAAAAAGGCCTAATTTGGTCTTTGGGTACATCTACACTTACCTCCGGGTCCGGCGGCAGGCAATCGATGTTCTGGGATTGATTTATCGTGTCTGGTCTAGACGCAATAAATCGATCCCGGAAGTGCTCGCCGTCGACGCCGGTACTCCAGCTCAGCGAGAGGAGTACGCGGCATCGACGGGGAAAGACTCCCTGCCGCGTCTGGACCCGCGGTAAGTTCGGACTAAGGTACTTCGAATTCAGCTACGTTATTAACATAGCTGAATTTGCGTACCTTAGTCCGAAGTGGGGGGTTAGTGTGGACCAGGCCTTTAATTATATGGATACAATCTCCACTGCTTTGTAGCAGGTTTATATGGATCATATTGATTTCAATGGGAGTTCCCCACTCCCATCATAAACAGAAACAGAATTTTGTCTCACTTTTTTATTTTGTCACAGTGGCCACATCTTTCGAACACAAATCTACCCAAACAACATATATGTCTTGAAGGAAATTTACACGAGAGAATCAGGAGAAGACCCATTGTTAGCTTCAGGGAACTCCCTAACACAGTTTCTTCTATTGTTGAAACTCGGTGTGTCTAGCTCTTCAAGTGCAACGGTTTTCCAGAGACTCTGGTCACAAGAAAGCTGGCAACTTGTCAGAAATAAAGACAATCCTGGAAGCAATTAGGGATCTAGCCTCTCTGTATGGTAAATTGACCGTAAATACTTTGGAAACATGCAAAATATAGCTGCTCAGTTAAGATGCAAAGTGCCAAATACAAAAAAGCAAACAGAGCAACAGAATCATCAGCCATTTCTTTTAGACAGTACTGCCAAGAGAAAGGAAAGTACGGCAACTAAGCAAATATAAATGTTGGGGTGAGATTTCAAAAGTACTCAGCACTGGCCTACATCTCATCCCATTGATTTCAATGGGAATTCCCCCCCCCGCAACGTTTGAAAAACCCAGCCTAGAAAAATCAAACTGATAATTGCTCCGCCTGCCAAATGGAGAGCAGGAAGAAGATTTGGATAGCTTTCTTGTTAAATTATCTAGTAGATGGGTCCAGATTCGGTGGCTGTACCGTGGTTCAGACTCAGTGGTGCAGTTTGTGACTGTCAAGGTACCAGTTACAACTATGAGACTCAGGAAGCTGTATGTCATTTAATTAAATGTTATCATAAAGCAAAAGTTCTGTTATTTTCTAACTCTTGAGTAGTTCATTTTACAAGCTTAAAACCATTATTTTAATCTATGTTTTGCAATATTTATGCAAACACACACACATGCTCCTGTACCCCTAAATAAACTGGTGGGTCATGACAGAATATAAACGAATTTTTATATAGCTATTGCAGATTTTTTTCCTTATAATGTAAAACAGTTTAGCATTGCCCTGAGATGTTTAAAGTTCCTTTAGCCTCTTACGAATACATTTCTCTCTGACAGAATAGCATGATACACTGCACAGGAATTTTGAAACAAAGAATGCAGTAAAACAGCAGTAAAAATGAAGTCTCCCATTGGTTACACACACAGTGAGTAGAACACTAAGTGAACTTCACACAGTATTTTTACCTGAAGCCCTTTATTTCCTTCACTTCCTTTCTCTCCTTTCACACCTTTAATCCCTTTTTGTCCCTAGAAGGTATGTTAGATGACAGAAAATTCAGTTAACACACAAATGCATATATTACAAACAGAAATATTAAATACCCTGTCTTAAGAAATAACACCACTTAGCCCTTTATATAGGCTTTATGTCTTGAAAGTGCTCTTAAAACAACACCTATTCACCCTTATATCATCACTATGTGATGGGTATTCTCCTCATTTTACATATGGGGAAACAAAGATTCAGGGGCACAGCTACTCTCCAGCTGCATAGGTCTGTGGGGGAAGCAGGGGAGGACTAGGGAGATCTGTAGGGGGAAGGATGGGAGGAATCCTGTCCAGATGGCAAGATACCCTTAAGGGCAGTGCCATAACAAGGGCAAGGCGAGTGAGGCAGTTGCCTCAGGTGTGGAAGGTGAGGGGCACAGAAAGTCTCTCCTTCGGTGGCAATTTGGCAGCAAGTCCTTCCCTCTGAGAGTGACTGAGGGACCCGCCACTGAATTGCCGCTGGTCGTCGGCAAGGGAGAGGGGCGGCACGTCCGGCTCTTCGGCGGCGGGTCCCTCAGTGCCTCTCGGAGGGAAGGACTTGCCGCCAAATTGCCGCCGAAGAACAGCAGTAATTCAGCGGCAGGTCCTTCCCTCCAAGAGGGACCCACCGCCGAAGAGCCGGACGTGCCCCCCCGTCCCTTGCCTCGGGTGCAAAAATCCCTAGTTACAGCTCTGCTCAAGCGAGGCTGCTAAAATGTCAGCAAAGGTCCCCGGTGGCACCAGGACCCCCCCACCAATGCAAAACACAAAGCATTAAAAATGTAAAGAAAAAGTAACCAGTGAATTCTAGCACACACAGCTAGAGACACAGCTACAGACACTGGGTTCCCATAGCAGTCAGCCAGCCAAGAATGAGAGTTCAGCTGCCCCCAAGTTCCTTCCTGCTGAAGAGGTCCAGGTGCACGCAAGAACATAAGAAGGGCCATGCTGGGTCAGGCCATCTAGCCCAGTATTCTGTCCTCCAACAGTGGCCAATACCAGATGCCCCAAAGGGAATGAGCAGAACAAGGCAATGATCAGTGATCCATCCCCTGATGTCCAGTCCCAGCATCTGGCAGTCAGAAGATGGGGCAATTTGGAGGGGATGTGTAGCGGGGTGGTCACCCGCTCCGGCCCTGAAAGGGTTACAGCCAGACCTGGGAGAGGGCTGGGGCTGCGAGCCAAAGACTAGGCTGACTGGGGCATGGCCCCAGCTGTGGCTGCTTCCCCAATCAGGCCACAGCTGTCCCTATAAAAGGCTGTGGGCCAGGAGCTCAGGCAGTCTCTCTCTAGCTGTGGAGAGAGATGGGCCTGGCTGCTTGGGAGCTCAGCAGGGTACCTGGAGTGGAGCAGGGCTGGGGAAAGGCCAGAGAAGCTGGAGAGCTCCAGGCTGGAAAACCCCACAGCCTGCAGGCCTTGCTGAAGGCCTGAAGCAGGTTCTGGGATTGCAGAGGGGCAGCCCAGGGGTAGGCAAAGGCAGCAGGTCCAAACCCCGCCTTTCTGATAATGAGTGGTTCACAGACTGCAGTCCGTCCCTGTGAGCGGGGGCTAGATGGTGATTGGCAGTAGCCACTGAGGCAAGGTGGGGATAGAGGGTTGAAGGTTCCCTGGGGTAGAGAGAGCCAGAGACTGGGGGTATTGCCAGGAGGCAACACCCAAGGTAAAGGGGTACTGAGGTTCGGGGGATCTAGGAGGGACACGGGGGCCTGAGGCACACGGGATAGCAGCCGGCAGAAGGCGCTCCAAAGCTGGAAAAGCTAGTTTCCTGGACAACCAGCAGGAGGCAGGAGGAGATAGGCTTGCTGAGAAGGATGTGGATTTGCACCCATGGAAAGGCCCTCTGGTGCGGCCGCCTCCCCAGGTGTTAGCTTCAAGGAAATCCCCAATACAATTTCTTCAATTTGCAGCCCTTGTACCTGCAAGAATGAATCTATATCCATATTTACAATACAGGGATCCAAAACATGTCTAAAATCACACAGGGCCAGATTGTGAATCCCTTACTCACTCTGGTTCCACAAGCTATTTCGTTGATGAGTAATCCAATATGAGGAAGAGGCTTCCAATCTGGGCCACAGAAAACTGTGGTCAGAAGTCCAGATCTAGATAGGAGGCGTACTTGGGCAGTATTTGCTCAACGGAAGGGCAGGACTGGAACATCAGAGGTGTTGCAAGCCAGGAAAGCCAGAGCTGTGCAGGGAAGTTTGCACTGTGTCTGCCTTACTATCCTATGCCCGACTCAAACCAATGCTGCCAGTGCTTCACAGCCACCAACAATATATTCACTCACATGTTGGCTGTGCTTTATAGAATCATAGAACTGGTAGGGACCGCGAGAGGTTATTTAGTCCAGTCCCCTGCACTCAAGGCAGGACTGAGCTTTGTGTGAGTATGGACACTGGGCCATACGATTTTTGGACATAGACTATTTCATTTCTCCTTTGTATTTCAAGTCCTCCTTCTCCTCGAAAATACCTAGATAAGCGGTTCTCAAACTGTGGGGGTCACCAGGGCTGGCATTAGACTTGCTGGGGCCTGGGGGCCAAAGCCCCATCGCCCAGGGCCAAAGCCCAAATCCCACCACCCAGGGTCAAAGCCAAAGCCTGAGGGCTGCAGCCCTGGGTGGCAGGGCTCAGGTTACAGGCCCCCCACCTCGGGCAGAAGCCCAAGGGCTTCAGTTTTGGCCCCACCAGGCTTTGGCATTGGCCCCCACGCCTAGGGCAGTGGGGCTCATGTGGGCTCAGGCTTCAATCCCCCCTCCTAGGGTCACATAGTAATTTTTGCTGTCAGAAGGGGGTCACAGTGCAATGAAGTTTGAGAACCCCTGACCTAGATGAATGTTAATATTCACCTGGGATCCTGGAAATCCTGGTTCTCCTGGAAAGCCCGTCAAACCAGGAGCTCCTTTCTCCCCCTGTATTAAGAGAGAAAATCTTGTAACAATTTTCTCAAGTGATCATAACAGTGACTGATCTGCCTGGAGAACAGTATGCTATTTTCAATTTCTAATACCATTTATTTGGCATTTGAACACCTCTTTTCTTTTCATTAAGTGACATTTCTCTAAAGAGTCAGCATTTAGATCAAATTACATTTCTTAGCATAGTGTCTTCACAGACTATCAGCATATCCTACCATATTTTTAATAAAGTTGGTCGTTGCAACGCATGGATTTAAAAAATTGTTTTTAAAATCCAGAAATTAAGTGAAGCTTATTTATTGCCACAAAGCAGGTTGAGCTTATAACCAAGGCAGCTGTTATAAGACAAAATGCCTGAAACGTGATTTTTGAGACATGGTTTTTCAGTTTAGCAGCTGGACAGTACCTTGCCATCAGGGGCAGCTCTAGCTATTTCGCCGCCCCAAGCATGGCAGGCAGGGCACCCGCTGCCGAATTGCTGCCGAAGCTGCAGGACCGGCGGACCTCCTGCAGGCATGCTGCCGAAGGCTGCCTGACTGCCGCCCTCGCAGGGACCAGCAGGGTGCCCCCTGCGGCTTGCCTCCCCAGGCACGCGCTTGGAACGCTAGTGCCTGGAACCGCCGGTGCCTGGAACCGCCGGTGCTTGCCATACAATTGTGCATAACTGAGGGAGAGTGCAAGGAGCCTCCTGCCCAGTTTTACCCCTCTTGAGAGGCACATCACAATTACAACTCTGCACTCACCTCAGCCCAAGGACTAGGTGAGGCCACCACATCTATAGACCTCAAAGAGGCAAGCAGAATGTGCATGTCTTCTGGATTCTAACATGGGGCAGTGCCTATACAATGCAATCCAGTACTATGTGCTGTGCAACATAATGTGTCTTGATCTTTGTTTAAAGAGCAAAAAGTATTTTGTAAAGGAATGTTACAAAGTTAAAAATCTTCTCAAAACAAACACACTTCTAATCTCAGATAATTAAAACTGTAAATATTTATGCTGGTTTATTTTCAGTTTTTCATTTCTCTGCCTTTGACAACAAAAATCTCAGTTTCACTTTTAGTGTCTCAGTGCTGTTTGAACTGAAAACACTGCAGGGAAATGATTATTTTTGTTACCATGGAAAGTTATGGAAAGTTTTTTATTGCTCTCACGTTTTGTAAAAGCTTCTTGTCACAAGATCTCATTTAGATTCAAGTTTGACTTGACAATGTCCTTCAAATAAAATATTATGCATCCATGATCTTTCACTATTAATGCTCTACAGTGCCATATTTTGTACAATTTGGATTTTTATGGTGCTCACTATAGTATGAGGGCCCGATCCCGCTCACCTCATACTTGCAAACCTAGATTCAATAGTCCAGGTCTATTCAGCAAAGTATCTCAGCACAGGCTTACTCAGTACAATGACATTCCACAATTGTCCCTCTTGTGTGTCACTCTGAAGCCTAGAATGTCTGTACACTCAGTGTGAAGAGATGAAAACAAGTACAGGTATGGCTGAAAGCTCCTTTTGTTTATACTAGCACCAGGTTCAATCATCACTGGGATTGGCAGTCTGTTACCATTCAATCTTGAAGTTTTCAGCCATTTTTGGCCTTAAAAAAAAAAAAAAAAAAAACAACCACACAACACACACGACTTTATGGATTACAGTGAGGAAACAGCACTCTAGTTCTCATGAATGGGACTAGTTCTTCAATGGGACTTGTGCAGCATACACATTGCTGAACTAGGACCCACAAGTAGTACCACTGAACTCACTGAGATTAATTGCATGAGTAAGGCAAGCAGGATTTGTCCTTTATCCTATATGCTATAACAAATTTAAAATAAATATTGGACTCTCTCTGCAAATATTTTAGAAGGCAGGAAAGCTCCCACGTTACTCCTACTGTAGATATGGGAAATTAAGGAAACCTACCTGTGGACCTGGTGTTCCTTGTCGACCTTTTGCTCCCTGACACAAGACAAGATAGATGTTTGTTAGACATCTATTATACCCCAGTTATCTCTCTCAATTAAATGACAAACAGTAGAGAAGCTGTGGCAACTGTCAATTTTTTTTCCAGATAATTTGACGTTCACACAATGCTTTACTATGTGCTCAAGTTACTGTACATGCTAGAACAGTGATTGAGAGCAAAGCAAATGCGAAAGTTATTATGGATGTGTCAGGATATTATTTTGCTATCACTTTTGCTTACTGCTCACACACTTCAGTCCTGCTGTGCCAAGAGAAGGACTAAAACATTCATGCCCTGTCCGCCTTGGCAAAACAGATGTGTTTATAACATTGGTTTTGGCAGTAGAGCTTAAAGACATTTCCCACCAAGCAGAGAGAAAGGTTCCCACCTCTTTAGTCTGTTCTTATTGGTAACTGCCTATGACAGAGTGCTAGGCAAGAAAGGCCGAGTTAGCACTCTGTTCACAGCAGCTCCAATCAAGCAAGGCAGAATGGAGCTGATTAAGCAGAGCTGTGCCTAATTTGTGGCTAGGGAAGGGCAGAAAGGCTAATTAAGCCCTTAGGCAGAGCCCACAAATAGGTACAGAAAGGAAGTGGAAAGGGGGAAGCAAGCAGAGAGAGAGATTGCGCTCCCCTGCTTGTTACAAGAGCTGTATGTATTATGAAGGTGGTGGGAATCCATTTGTAAATAAACTGCACAAGGTGTTGAACCAGCACAAGGATCTCTGAGTAGTTTCTAGACTGGGACAGAGGCAGGAGCCTGGTGGCCCCGCTACACTGCCACACCAGAAGAAAGAGTATGTTAATGCAAATTCTTATCTTTGCAGAATTTCTTTGTTTGGAAGGAGAAAAAAGAAGCAGAGAAGTGAAGTCATCAGCAAGCGTTGCGGGACAGAAACTGGGCAGTATTGCAGTAGGTTCCAAATTTGAAAGAAATGAGGAAGCTATTTTGTCTCTGATAGTCAGTCAGTTGTGTTGGATAGTCCTATTCAGGAGGAAAGAGTTTGCCTGGAATCAGAGGCTATTGCTACGGTTAATTTTTTCAGGGCAATCTATCAGAGATTTATCTCATCTTCCTGCAGTGAATGGAGGATGATGGAGCGATCAGTTAAGTTAAATTTATGGACTCTGACATCATTCTTTCTACCTTGGATTAATTACAAGCATTTCCTTTGCATATTTAGTCTCCTTGTCTATATGGGTTCTTACTGTGGTTCTCCGAGAGCCTGGTGACCCTGGTAGGCCCATTGGTCCTCTTTCACCCTGGAAATGAGAAATTTAATTTCATGTTATCTCAATTCTCACTCAAATTCCAAACGTTTTATATTTTTCCAGATTATTAAGCCATCTAGTCATGAACAATGGACATGCAAACCAATGGGAAAAAATTATTTTCATAACACTTGGGCACACATCATCTGTAACTGCTTACCCCTGTCAGAGTTAAGAACAGAAACATAGTATTTTAATTGCATGACTTCATCTATGCAACATTGTCAAAGAAATGCCATTGTGTTATGGTACATTTCATAAAGTAGTACCATCAAAATAATCACTGATGTTGCCCTCAAATTATATTTGTCTGGAAGGTGCTGCATGTTTGTCATTACAGTCACCATTCTGTTTTGTGTATCAACACTGATCTCCAGCAGACTGTGCAGATAATCCAAGTCTTGTACTGGTGCTCCATAACTGCTCTACAGTGAAATCAATCGAAGTTCAGGGGGGCTTGGCACTGTGTAGTATTGGGCCCATATATAGATCTAAGTACTTTCCCTGCACACACACTTTGGAAGATTTTCTGTGGAAGTTCATTAATTTACTACAAGAAATGTTTTAAAAACAACACTACTACTACTACTAATAGGTATGCCACAGATGACAGTAGGTATGATTATTCATCATATATCCACACCTTAGTTATTTTTCATCTCTTTAAAAAAGTGTAAGACCACTTCCAAAGCTGGACCGCAGAGTGCAAATTCATGGATCTCAAATCACCCATAAGGCTAGAATCAGAGAACCATAGAAATGTAGGACTGGAAGCGACTTCAGCAGATCATCAAAACCAGCCCCTTGTGCTGAGGCAGGACAAAGTAAACTTAGACCATCCATGACAGGTAACCTCCAGTGATGCGGATTCCACAACCTCCCTTGGAAGCCTATGCCAGAGCTTAACTGCCTTTACAGTTGGAAAGTTTTTCCTGCTATCTGACCTAAACCTCCCTTGCTACAGATTAAGCCCATTATTTCGTGCCCTACTCAGCGGACCTGGAGAAACAGGATGACCATCAGTTGCTACAACAACCCTTAACATATTTGAAGGCTTATCAGGTCCCTCTCTGAGTCTTCTTTTCTCAAGACTAAATATGTCTAGGTTGTTTAACCTTTCCTTGTAGGTCAGGTTTTCAGAACCTTTCATCATTTTTGTTGCCCTCATCTGGACTCCCTCCAATTCATCCACATCTTTCTACCTAGAACTGGATGCAGTACTTGAGTTGAGGCCTCGCCAAGGCTGAGTAGAAAGGAACAATTACCTCCAGTGACTTACATACAACTCTCCTGTAAATACATCCCAGAATATTAGCCTTTTTTGCAGCTGCATCATGTTATTGATTCATGTTCAATTTGTGATCCACTATAATCCCAGAACCTTTTCAGCAGTACTACCACCTAGCCAGTTATTCCCTATTTTATAGTGGTGCATTTGACTTCTCCTTCCCAAGTGTGGTACTTTGCACTTGTCTTTATTGAATGTCTTCTTGTTGATTTCAGATGTATTGTGTGGTATAAAATTAGGAACAATAGAATTGTCATACTATTTTTAACAGCCTTGGTTATCAATGGATTAATTTTAATTTGCTCTATAAAGCTATATTTTAAAGGATTGTAGGTTAGTATTTGAAACAATGTACTGTAAACAAAGTCACATATTTCTAAATAGTTACCTGTCTTCCCTGTTCTCCTTTTGAACCTATGGACCCTTTTATGTCATTGTCCAATCCAGGATTACCCTAAACAAAGACACAAAGTTAAGTACATTTATTTCCCATGGGAGATGATGGCGCTTAATATCTCACAGTAGCTGCTCAGCACCTTTAAGCATGGGGCCCTGAAAAAAGAATGGGAAAACATGGCTGGAGTTAACTGTTTGTTATGTCTAACAAATATGAATAGCCTATCAGCCTTTACACAATATTGATAAAATATTTGTAGTTTGTTTTTATGAAATATCAATGTTGTGACACAATCTAGGATACGCTGGGTAGACAAAAGGGACATTAAGAGTCATTATTCTACTCTGAGGACTAGATAGAATTCCCACTCGAATCAGTGGAAGTCCTGTGTGGGCACTGTAGCTCGAAGGGAGCATATGGCACTAAGTCTTGGCAGTGGTGCAAACTTTAACCACAAGGGCATCCTTAAAAAAAACATGAAAAAACCCAAGTATTAGAAATCTCACAGGTGACACTGCACTCTTTGAACACACTGGAAGTACAATGCAGCCCTGCCGCCTTCTCCTGGTATTTTCTCCTCCTCACCAACTACAACATCTGTCCTTTTATAGTGATTTCCACAGCCATGTTGCTTGGTCAGGCCCTCGTCACACCAGACAGAATGCATCTTCATTCCCTACTGATTTGATGATGTCACACCCCTCACTGGGTCCCCATCCATTTTGGCATCATAGAATTCTGCGTCTCCATATTTATTCAAGCTTGTCGATGTGTCCTGCCCTCACCCCATCCCACTAATGTCCTCAACCTTGTTTGCTCATCTGTCAGCTTCTCACACAACCACCTCAGCACCTTTTTCCATGAAGCCCCTATGCAACCTCCATGAGACCATTGGCAAGCCTTCTACCTTGTTCCTCTTTCCCCCTTAAAGTCCCACTTGTGCCAAGCTGTTTACAGTGCATCTAACTGACTTGAATTTAAAGACATGCCTATTCGTTGTTTCCTTTCCCATTCCCCTAGCTTCTGCCGACCAGTCTGCCTCTAGCCTTTGACTGTGAGCTCCTTGGAGCAGGGACCACCCCTATTAGAATGTCTGAGAAGTCCTTAGCAAAATGTGGGTACTACTATAAACTAATAGGAATAATTATAACAACGACAAACAACTGATTGGAATTATGTAAGAAATACATTATCTTCAGCTGAATCCGCAGAGTCCTGGGAGCTAATTCAAGATATGAACGAACAGGAAATACAACGTATTTGTAATATTTTACCTCCATTTCTCATATTCTATTTGTGATGGTTGCATTCCTAATTTACACCTAGCGCAGCAATGCTATACCTGACCAATAAGTACAACAATGATTAGCAGCTAGGGCTGCAGCATTTCATGACATATGACACACCTTTCAGTGAAGTCAGACTCTCACAAGCAGGCCTGTGGACTATGACAGGCCACGCCCTCAGGGTATGCCACTCAAGGAGTGGAGTGAGAACTCTTTCAATTCCCTGAGAGGCACGCTATCATAAACATAAGAAAACACTGCAGTCCCTTTTCACACATTATGTAATTTCCATTCATCAATGTTCTTCTAAATATTATGTTCTGAAACAGAGGAATATTCTGGTTTATTTAAAAAACAAACCTCATCCTGAGCTGTACTTTTTTCTTTAATCATTCAACAGTACAAGATCGCCATCCAAAGGCTAAATCCTACAATGGTCCTGATTCAAAAAAGTACCAGCACGCAGGAGGAATAGAGGTAAGTGCGCCCCACTCCCATTTACTCTCAATGGGAATTTGTGGCACGTCATATCTCACAGTGGATGCTCAGCACCTTTCAGCACTGGGCCCTGAAAGAAGAATGGAAAAGTCTGCAGGATTTAGCCCTATGTCATGTCTGACAAAGATTAATAGCCTACCAGCCTTTATACACTGCTTATCATCATGGTATCTTTGCTTAGGGCAATACCATTACATACTGGTGTAGGAATAAGCATAATTCATTCATTAGTGAATGGATACAAAGTCCCCACACAGAGAGTATCATAAATCCACAGGATGTCCCATAGTACTGGATTTTTCTTGTAGGTCTCTCAGGCAACTGACAGATCCACATAGCCACATGTAGACAAATTCGTTGTCTTGAGATTGGGGATTTAAGGAGGTCCAGATTTACCCCTGTGGTGCCTCCTGCTAGTCATTCAGGGAATTAGCTCACCAGCCTCTAGAGCACCCTCTGCAGGCCAGTGATCCAACTGTCCTCTTCTGGCACCCAGGTCCCTCCCAAGACCCAGTGCCCCTATTACTGGGATGCTGCCACCTAGTAGTACCCCACAGATCTGGGTCTCCCCTCCCTGGGGAACCCCCACCCACTATCCCCACCTTGCCTCAGCACTAGGCCACTGCCAGTCACCAACTATCCCCTGCTCCATGGGGCAGACTGCAGTATAGGCCACTCATCACTGGCAAGGGGGGGTTGGATCTGCTGCCTTGGCCTAGCCCTGGGCTGCCCTCTACAACCCCCAGTACCCCTTGGCCTAATACTAGGCCACAGCCTGGGGCTTTCCAGACTGGAGCTCCCCAGCCCTGCTCCACTCAGGTACTCTTTGTCTGGCTCCCTGCAGCCCAACCATTCTCTCTCTGAGTGCAAAGAGAGACTGCTGAGCTCTTGGCTCCCAGCCTTCTTATACAGGTCAGCTGGGGCCTGATTGGGGTATGGCCCAGCTGTGGCTACTTCCCCAATCAGCCCAGTAGCTTTTCCCTTTGTCCCAGCCCTCTGCCAGGGCTGTTTTAAATCCCCTCAGGCAGGAGTGGGGTAACCACCCCACTACAGAGGGTCATGTGCATTTTTTGTTCCAGAAAGTATAGCATATGGGATATCTTGGGCTCATGAAATGTCCCAGATATACTAGTCTCAGATAAGGAATGTGAAAATAATTATTGGGAAAGGTTAAGGTCTGCTAGGTTTATCTGATCTATTATCCTCATTTTTGGGATTACAGTACAATAGTCACGCACGTCTGTCCTAACATACCTTTGAAAGAATATCATATCCCCATGCAGATCTGAACCGAGGTTTTTACTTCCTGCAAGTTTATTCACTTTCTAGTGCACCATAAGTGAGGTTCCGAGATTAGATTCACATCCTTAATGTTGTAATCCTGAGAGCACCCCAATGCCCAGTGGCCCCATGGTATAGAACTAAGGGTCAGTTCGCCTGGCCAGCTCTCTACACCTCACACACACAATATTTATCTAAAAGGTGTCTTGTAACATATCATTTGAAAACACCATGCTGGTGATTACTATCACTGTGAAATGTAAGTAATAACGCTGCATGTGAAATTATGGATACTCTCTGATATTACGTTTTAGAATCGGGAAACAGACCAACAAGGCAAAACAAGTTTTTTCCAGACAAAGAAGAATGGTCAATTCCTCTTGGGCTTAATTGCAAATCAAGACAGGTGTGGCCAAGAACAACGGGCTAATCATTCGCAGGAAGGATCACAGGAAGATCATTTGGGCTTCCTGACTTTGAAAACAAAGATAAACTTTGAGGATATAAGCAACTGCTAAAGACTTTGGGGTATCCATCACCTAGGGGACAAAGGGGAGCAGCACCCTTTGAGTTCATGAAAGGTGGATCCCCTTGGCCCGCGAGGCAAGAGTAGTAGGAAACTGACTACAGGGGAGAAACCTGCTTAGACAATGATTGCAACTTGCTGAAATTAAGTTGTAGTCATTAGAAAGCAGGTTGTGTTTTGTTTGACTTGTCACTAAACTTGTCTCTTCTAGTCTTACTTATTATCACTTAAAGCTCTGTTCTTTGTTAATCAACTTATTCTTGTTTTATTACAAAACCATCTCAGCGCTCTGCATTAAACTGAAGGATGAAATCCCTCAGCCAAATTACCAGGCTGGTATGTGTTCTGCTCTTTGGAGGCAGCACACTTGATACTTGTGGGAGGATCCTGTGAGAGGGTCTGGACACTGCAGGGTAGATGATTTTGGGGAGACTCAGGACTGGAAGGGCTGTTGGCGTCACACTGCAAGGAGTAACCAGGCTGGTGGTAGCCAGGGTGAGGCCATTGTGCTGTGAGCAGGCTGCTGGTGCCAGGGCTCTGCACCAAAGCTGCACAGCACAGAAGCACCCAGGGTGACACAACCCCTCCCTCCCTTACTGCTCTGGATGAACCCCACAGAGTCATACATGTGTAAACAGAGTCAGGATGAGCTCTACCCTGACATCTGGTGGTGAATTATGGCGAGTGTGGAAAAGAACTCCAGGGGCTGATCTTGTTTGTATAGGCACACACACTCCGCCTAGCATGAGCCCACGGCAGCCCAAAATGGTCACTTTGGCTGCTGTGGGATCCCCAGTTTCTCTGTTATTGGGGCAGGAGGAATAAAGTGTTGTTACCCTGATTATGTAAATCAAGGACAATGAAACTGCTTTATGACAGAAGGTCTCACCATCACCTAAGTAGCACTCACTAGACAAGGGACATGGGTTCTAAAACCCAGTGACTTGAGAGAATGGGGATAGATATTTGTGCCTGGTGGTTTGGGCCCCCTTTAAGGGAGTGAAACACCAATTGCACCGTCTCCTCTCTCCACTGTTGAATAGGAGAGCTAATTTTAATTCTATGGAGAGTCTAATTACAGGCTGTTATGTGGAATTCCCTTTGGGCCAATAGTGCACCAGCAGTGGGGCTCCCCTACTACAAGCTGAAATCACTAAAGAGCTAAAGTTACTAAGAGCTGAGATCACTGAGTGCTGTGTTAATCAATGGGGAAGCCTAAAGCTATATTGCTAAATTGCGAGCAGGGAGGAGCAGTCTGTGGGATGGTTGGAGTAGCCCATGGAACAGCGAGCGGAGCGACACGGTGCAGTTTGTGGGGATGGCTGGAGGAGCAGAGCAGAGCAGAATGGAGCGGAGCAGTTTGTGGGGTGGCAGGAGCGGCTCACGGGACAGCTGGTGGAGTGGAGCAGCTCGGCTCGTGGTGAAGGCTGCAGCGGAACCCCACGGAGAGGTGGGCAGTCGGCCTCGGACCACGTAAGGTGCCCCTTAACACCCTGCCTGTCCCCTTTCTCCCCCTCACCCCTTCCACCAAGGCTGGGGGCGTAAAACCCTGCAGATAAACTTTTGAACTCGGGGGATGCACTGACCGGGGCAAAGACTTTTGGGTTGCTGAACTTTTGGGATTCTTGGGTTGCTGGACTCAAGAGACTTTTGGGGTGTTGGACTCTGGGTGATTTTTGGGTTGCTGGATTCAAGAACCAAAGGGGAAGGACACGGCCCAATTTGCTGGGGTGGTTCTTTTGCTCATGGTTTGTGTTATGAATCCTGTTTGTGGTGTTTTTCCAATTTAATGCTGATGTCATTTACCTCATCTAATTAAACATTTTCTCCTACACTCAGACTCCGTGCTTGCGAGAGGGGAAGTATTGCCTCTTAGAGGCGCCCAGGGGGTGGTATGTAATTGTCCCAGGTCACTAGGTGGGGGCTCGAGCTGGTTTTGCATTGCGTTATTGAAATGGAACCCCTAGATACAGAACCCGGCCCTTGTTGCTGCCAACTCAGATGGGTAGAAGGGTTACAAATATGTAATACAGAATAGATTTGCACCTAGGAAAACTTACACGATCTCCTCGTAAGCCCCTCTCACCACGCTCACCAGGGAGTCCTCTTGGCCCTGGCCTGCCCTGAAATCATAAAATGGCTGAGTGAGAATCTGAACAATCATTTTCCTGCTCAAGTATCATTGGGTAGCCGTGTTAGTCTGTATCTACAAAAACAACCAGGAGTCTGGTGGCACCTTAAAGACTAACAGATTTATTTGGGCATAAGCTTTCGTGAGTAAAAACCGTGGGAAGAAGTGAGGTTTTTACTCACGAAAGCTTATGCCCAAATAAATCTGTTAGTCTTTAAGGTGCCACCAGACTCCTTGTTATTTTCCTGCTGATTGTAACAAAACGAGATAGGAACAAGTCCCAACATTTTAATACAGATTTTGAAACTCCCCAGGTTCAGGGTTGTTTGCATCCAGGATTTTGTTTAATCTATTATCAAGTCACAGGCCTTCACAAAATACAGTTCCAGACCGTGGAGTTGATTCGGAACACCTCCAACTTTGGACGAGCTTGGCTCTTAATGTTGGTTCAGGCTCATATGTAAACCAAACAGCAACAAGTTCTCTGAATTTTCTTTTGGCACAAAGGAAAAAAGCTAACTGCAATTTATTAAACTTAAAGCAATTACTAAAGTTCTAATTAACCATGGTCAGTAAATACATTCTAAAAATGGATGCTCTTCAGCTGCCAGATTTCCCAGCATTAACATTTGCGTGAGAAAATACATTTCAATTTTATGTTTTGTTTTTCAATCAAGAGCTTGGAACTCTTATTCAAAATGAAAAAAAGTTACCATATGCTAATTATGTTTATTTAAGAACAAAAGAACTACCATATTGGGTCAGACCAATGGTCCATCTAGCCTTGTATCCTGTCTCCAACAGTGGCTAGTACCAGTGATTCAGGGGGAGTGTACAGAACAGGGTAGTTGGAGTGATCCACCCAGTCTCTCTCTAGTCAGAGGTTTAGGGTTACCCTGAGCATGGGGTTACACCCTGACTGTCTTGGCTTATAGTCATTGATTGACCTATCCTCCATGAACTTATCCCGTTCTTTTTTTGAACCCAGTTATACTTTTGGACATCACAACTTCCCACAGCAATGAGTTTCACTGGTTAATTGTGCATTGTGTGAAAAAGTATTGCCTCTTGTTTATATTAAACCTTCTGCCTATTAATTTCATCTTATGACTCCTGATCTTTGTATTGTATGAAAGAGTAAATAACACTTTTCTATTCACCTTTTCCACACAATTCATGCTCTTATATAACTCTATTACATCCCCCTTACTTGTTTCTTTTCTAAACTGAGCAGTGCTAGTTTCTTCGGTCTCTCCTCATATGAAGGCCATTCCACACCCTTAATTATCTTTTTGCCCTTTTCTGAATCTTTTCCAGCTCCACTCTATCCTTTTTGAGAAGGGGTGACCAGAACTGGACAGAGGAGTCAAGGGAGGAAGGTGCACCACAGCTTTATATAATGGCATTATGATCTTTTCGACTTTTTTTTTTAAAAAACCTTTCCTGATAGCCTTTTTGACCACTGCTGCACAATGAGCTGAAGTTTTCAGAGAACTACCCAGGGTGATTCCAAGATCTCTTTCTTGAGTGGTAACAGTTAATTTGGAACCCATCACTGTATATGTGTAGCTGCAATTATTTTTTCCAGTGTGCATTACTTTGTGCATATCAGTCTTGAATTTCATCTGCCATTTTGTTGCCCAAACACTCAGTATTATGAGATCCCTTGGTAGTAACTAATACTTTAGCAAGTGCCTTCAGAGTAAGTAAGCCCTTCCTCAATCTACATGTCATGGACCAGATACTGCCATCTTTATTCACCTTGAGTTGTACCTTAATCCAATTAGTCCCATTAGATTCACTTGCAGAGTAAAGTAATTTAAGAGTAGCAGAATCTGTTCCTCAACAAGCACAGTACAGAATGTTTTTTTTTAAACCCAGTTTTGCTTTTATAATTATGTTCACTGAGTTACACAAGCCTCCCAAACATTTTATACCACTAAATGCTTTTGCTTTTCAGTTAATCAGTCTAAGTGTGAAGATTTATCAAGCTTGTATTTAGCACAACGTCACACACTGAGGTGCTCAATAAAGAAATAAATAAAAACAATAAAACTGCATTTAGAAGGCTGTAAAAATCAGCACTTTGCATGGTGGTTACGATGAATAACTGTCTGCTCTGCACGTTATCGGTTTCCCTAAAAACAGTGAGTGCCCGCTTCAGTTTATCATAGTGAACACTCAGAACCAGCCTGAGGTGAAACTATATTGAACTGATCAAATCTTGACATTGCTTTCAGCAGACTAACATTCAATTCCAGAGGAACCCGCTTGTAGAGAACCCCATGCAAGAAGGGATTGAACTGGGGGCACAGCCATTGGTATACAAGTTTACATAGCTCCATTAGCCCAAATCCTGCACAGTGAGAAATGGAAACCTGGCCACATCAATCAGTGTACGCTCTGTAGTAGCGGGTGCAGCTCAGCTATGTAGGCAGCTGAGCCAGTTGCAGCTGAGGGTTCTATTTCTCAGCCCTGTGACAGGCTTTGCCTGGTTTGAAAAGTATTTTTTATTTCCTTTTACAAAAGCCAACTTGTACAACAAATCATGTCCATCTAGGTGCCTGATCATTCTGTTCTTTACTATAGTTTCAACCAAGTTGCCTGGTACTGAAGTTAGGCTTGCTGGCCTGTAATTGCCAGCATCGCCTCTGGAGCCTTTCTTAAAAATAAATAAATAAAATCGGCCTTGCATTAGCTACCCTCCAGTCATCTGGTCCTGGGTGTGGAGGTGTATTAGGAGTGGAGAAGAAGAGGAATAGGGGCTTGGGGCTGCAATGAGGGGTGGATGGTAGGGCAGGCAGGGGATGTTGGAGACTCAGGTGAAGAAGGCATGGCACACCCCAGCTTTACCAGGGCACCCAACTCCTGTGTACTCCACAACTCACCCAATGCACCCAACCCCTGGAGCCCTAGCTCTGCTAGTGCACACCATCCCCCCACACTCCCCCGCCCAAAGTCTTTGGGAGAAAAATCAGACAAGTGAAGGCTTCTTGGGCACTGAGGGGGAAAGCCGGGGGCAGAACAGTGGGAGATTAGGGGGTGAAGAGTTTGGGGCTGCAGCAAGAGAGGGGTGTTATGGGGAGGGGGATAAACTGGAATGGGGGGGGAGAGAGGCTGGGGTCTCAGCTGAGGGAGG